CTTCAAACGATGTTTCTTCATCGTTATAAAATTTGGTTTCTGAGTTCCAAGATTATTTTCATGGAATTTGTTTAGCTTTAACGGACCAGAAACTGTTGATCGTCTATTAATTCCACATACGCCTCTACAGCAGCTGTCGGTCTTTCTTTCTAACAGTTTTTTGATCTTTTTCTATGATCTTTGAAGTATTGATATAAATTAAACAGTTTTTTTAAGTCGCTTTCTTTCCTTTTTTTTTTTTTTTTTAGTTTTTTCTTTGAGAAAAAGTAAACTGTAAGAAATCTTTTCTTTTACACGTATCTTGATTTTTTCTTTAACAAACATGCGTGTAGTAGTCTTTGAAGCAACAGATTTGATTGCTTCGCTGTGAGTTCATTTTTAAGGTTTGCAGAAAAAAATTTCGCTTGCTAAAAACGCCTTTGAATGGATGAAAAAATCTGAGAAGAAAAAAAAATCTATTTTTGTATAATTTTTTGACAATTTTTTTTTTTTTTTGTCTAAAAAGAGGGATTTTTAGACTATTTTATTTTGAAGATACTTTTAGACGTAACTTCTAATTTTTAAGTGCTCTGAAAAGTAGTGGCAGTTGTGATATTACGTTGTTTGCTTATCGATATGTATTGCTTCTGTGTTAGCTGAAAAAAAAAAAAGATTTTATTCTGATGCTTTTAGAGTAGTGCTGAAGTGTGCCTTGATTAAGGGAACGAACACGCATCGTTGAGCTTCGAAATGATTCCCAGATCGACAGTAATGTTTTCCAAAGCTGGAAGGAAGTAATAGGGGACAGCAACTGAAAAGTTGATTCTGTTTCGTCCTCGTTCGATTATTGATTCATTTCTTCTCTTCCCTTCCCCTCTGTTCCTTTCCCTACTAAATATAATCTGGATTTCAAAAATTTATTTATTTAATTGATTCATTATTTCGTTTGTACACTATGCGATTGCGTGGAGTGTCATTTGCATTCGTTGGATTTTTTCTTTTGCATTTAGCCGCTTCTAAAGGTAAGCTTACGGAGCAGTATTAACAGAATTTTTATCTCTCAAGGAATTCTTTTTTCTTTTTTATCAAGCAATTTTCTGTTGTTAATTGAAAGACAGAATTCAGTACAGTTTTTTTTTTTTTGTAAGGGCTGTCTATCAGTATGTTTGCGCAGAATTATTTAAGTTTACCACAGCTGTAATAAAAAGAAAGGTGAAATACAGTTTTGTTACATTATATGTAAAATTATTGCTGAGATTTAGTCTGTTTAAATAAACGTTAAGATTAAAACTTTTTCAAAGCTTATATCAACAGTTTTATTTTCTAACAAAATTGGTAACAATTCTTCACATAAAAAAATTTTTTTTCTTGCTTCTTTTTGTTCAACATTTAGCCAGTGATGTTGCTATTTCATCCCCTTTGATCATTTTTATCTTCTCTAATTTTTTTTCCTAAGCGGTCTTTTAAGAATTTAAACAGTTTCCTAGTTGCTGTTTTTTATTCCCTTCAGTGTTCTTAGCACATTTTCATTTGCATGATTAAACTGATGCATTTTGGCAGTTCATATGTCACAACTGTGAAGCCAAAAAATAGCGAAGTTGTTGCTAGTGACTACCACCAAAAACGTTCTTCTGGACTTGAGGAGGGATTCATTGAGCTCAAAATTTAACACTTTCAGAAGGAAGAGGTATAGAAGGTATAGGGACGTATAGGGACAATGATAAGATTTTCAAGTGCTTTAATTTTGAAGTGCAAACAGTAACCGATTGAAAAGATGGAGAGGAGGGGATCTTTGAAGGATGTGGAGGAGTCAAGGCGTCTTTATCTGCGTTTATATCGTTTTTAAGCGAATAATCCGTTGGGGATTTATTTGCTTAAAAGTCAATCAGTTTTAGATCTTTTCTTTGTTTAGCTGTTCTGTTTGTTAGTGTCTAACGCATTTTAGGCGTCCTATATGACATTGATGACTCAGGAAACAAAATGCCAATCTTACATTTCAAAATTATTTTTTGCCTCATAATAACTGTTTGTGGTACTGAAATCTGATGAATGAGAAATTGAACGATCGAAATTTGTCGTCTAAAATTTGCATTGAAGTAACTAACATTTATCTTTCTTCTTTCTTTTTCCTGCATTGCCTTAACAATTAAATTTTAGTAAAAAGGAGAGTTTACTTGAAATTCTAAAACTTATTTTAGGTGCAAAAGATTTACTATAAAGGAATAGGCGATTGGTACGGTATTAGGCATTCTCCCTTTGAAAGCTTAACTTGCATGTTTGAAAAGTTTTTAACAAATACTCTTTCCGAATGTTAGGCTAATTCGACTCAAAAGATATGAGTACTTTGTTGGAGCCAGAGACGAATTTGAGCATTCTCGGTTTAGGGGGTTCCTGTATTTTGAGTTTACGTTATTTGCTTTTCTAATTTAGATTTTATTTTTTCGTGAATCTTTTCATTGACTTTTCTATTCACGTCTATAATTTTATTTTCGGTGTTTCTCTTTTTGCCTTTTTTTCCGCGTCTCTTCGCATGAATTTTTTTTTGTTTGTTGTCTTATTCCTTCCTCATTATTCATCGACGCGTACCTCTTTTCCGATTTTTGAAAAACCAGATTAGACTATCTTGTAGGATTAGACTATTCTTTCATATTACTGGTTTTTAACTGTTAATGGTTGAGCAGTCTTAGCTTAGAAAGCAAGAGCCTAAACTATGCAAGTTATTTTGATTCTGTGCAGTGGGATTTTTTTTATTATATTCAAGTTGCCTTGGCCAAAACCTTTTTAAATTTTTATTCTTTATTTTCGTTGTAAAGAAAAGTATTTGACAGTGAACAGAATTTAAAATTTCATGTTTGGAAACCTAAGGTTAATTTAGGCACTTGAGTTACCAGCGGGAAAAGTTGTAAAAAATTGGAAATTGTGCATTCATTCAGTGACCTACTTTTTTTTTCCAAACAGTTTCATATATTTAGTACTCTTAGCTTAGCTCTTAGCATATTTGTTCTTGTTGGCTCCAGTCCTGAAATTTAGTTATTTTAAACTAATCTCTAATTAATGCTGTCTATCGATAACCTTTACGGCTGCTGCTTAGTAATTTAAACTAGAGAGTGTACTGTTGTAGTTAAGCGTACTCAGTCCCAAATGTTCTTTTTTTGCTTGTAACCTGTTTTTTTATAAACTTCTTTGTAACTTTTCTAAGAATCTGACGCCGAAATGACATTCAACTTTTATTTTCACTTACTAGATTGTTATCGTGATGAGGCTTGACTTGATGAGGAGTGCATAGTTGTATTCTTGAAAAAGGCTAGGTTAAGACCTGCATTCTGTACTGACCTCTTACTTTCAGTTTTCGCACTGTTTGAGCATTTTCTGTTCAGCGTAAAAGTACTAGCATATTTACTAACTTCAACCACATATCTAAAACGCACTGGCCCACTGTGCGAGAAAGAAATTGAGGGGAATGAATTTCTGAAACTGAATGCCTTTGTACATTTTCACTGGGGAGATCGCCCATTCAATATGTGCATGACTTTATTCATTATGAGACTGATCTGAAAATAGGTCTTAGGTCATTTCTAGCAAATCTTTACTTCCAACGTTTTCACTGAAGGATGTGTATGATGAAAGCATTTCAACTAAATGCTGCTACAGTAGCAAAAGTACTTGGAGGGAGACAAGAAAGGAGCTAGATGGGAGGGAGGAGAAGAGGATTTGGTTATACAGTTACAAAAGCGAGGATCGCTATTTACATCGTAAGGCATTGAAGTAATGCTCTTGCCAAACGGTGTAAGAGTCGAGGCGGTACGAAAGTACTAAACTATAAGGAAATTAGACAAAAGTGTATGAGCGAGTTAAAAAACTGTCACTAATAAAGTGCTAACAAGATCTTTGTGTATGGAAAGTGGGGGTAGGTCACAAACAAAACAACAGATTTGCAAATAGGCAAGTTTATAGATTTAATGGAACGGTAAAGTGCAGTATCAAAACTGAGGAAAAAAATTGGGCTTATAATATCAGGTTATTCGAAAAACTGAACTTATAACTGTAATGGAGCACTAAAGTGCAGCTGCATCAAACATATAAGCGGCAAGAAAAACCTATATACTTGCAGTTGCTTTGCGACAAGTGCCTGTAAATAAACAGTTTATAAGTCGATTTCCAGCAGGAGAATTTGAAGTTGTACACCCATTTCAACTAAGAGATCGAAGTGACCGTACGAATGTTGATACTCGGTAAGCTATTGTCAAAGAGTTGCTATACTTGCATTGTATCATTGTTGGTCTGTCTTTATGCGCCAATATTTTCATTCATTAGCATGAATTCTTTTTTTTTTTCGTAAATAATTTTTTTGTAATAGCTAATGGAGGATTATGTGTAATTTCAGAATTCATCATCATTCCAGTATCAATTTGGCTCATTACAAACACACAACAATTGTTATTAGGACCAATTCTTTCGGACGTTTAAAACTTTTTTTAACGCTCAAAGAATTTGTTTTCGTGAATAAGACTGAGTTCAAAAAGGTTTTGGTTTTCTTCTTTTATTTTTGATAGATTAATTTTTTTGTTTTTTCTAGTTTTTTTTGGTGTATTTTGCTCCGACTTCTAAAGCAAAACATTAACTAATAAAAGTGCTATTTTTTTCTTATAATCTCTTATACAATAAAGGAAGATTGGACGGGAATGATAAGGCTTTGGGCAAATGATTAAACTGATTGACGGAGATTTTAAACAGGTTTTGGATGTACAAATTATTTTCAACACCTTGTTTCCAAAAGAATGCTTAAGGTTAAGTTTGAAATAAAATATCATACTCTGCAGTTTGTTTCATATTGAAAAGTGTGCAAGAAAAAAAAAAGAAGCATATACAAGTGAAGTTTAAGAAGGGGCACGACACGCAGCGTAGTTTGGAAGAAAGTGTGCAGAGATGTATTCTTCAAAATTGTAAAACTTTTTCGCAACAACCGTAATTTTGGCATAGGGGTTTCAAAAAAAATATGAAGATTTGGATAGTAGGAAATTATGAGGGCAAAGATTAAAGGCAGGCTACGAAAAGTTTGTACAAAAATTATTTAACCAGGTATCATTTACATTAGAGAGAAATTTTTTTGTACGGGACTCTTGCAGTGCGGAGTAACATAATTTAAAATTTTTGTAAAATTTTAAGCATTTTCAATTGAAAACTTTTTTCTTTACGTAAAATTGAACTTCTAAACAAACAAATTTTGTTATTGTCTGAAATCTTGCGTAAAAGAGAAAGATGCAACTTACTGCTTTATGAAAAGTTGAATACTTTTTTCGCCCTGCCCTTTCCTATTTCCAGTTTACCTTTCTTGCATGCGGGATTTCATGCGTAGAAGTGCCGAAAAAGTTTATTTTGCACTAAAATTTGAAAAAAATTCGAGGCTAAATTCTGTAAGAATAGAACTTTGCAGTATGATTCCACGGGAAGTCACTCGTTTGAGGAACAACTGGAAAATTGTTATTATGAAGGTACTGTAAACAAGTCTCTAACTTCGTTTGTTGCAATTTCTACCTGCAATGGACTGCGGTAAGTTTCCATTTCCAAGGCAGTTTCAAGATAGTTTGTATTTACGGGATTTGATGGGAAATTAATCAAAAATTATCTTGTACTTTGAGTCTTCCGCAATCTATTAAAAAATTTGGAGATTTGCAAGTCTACGGCTTGGCATTGCTAATTTTTCAGCTTTGTAGAAATGCGCTTCTCGGTTGAAGGCAGAGTCGATTTTCCAAAGATGTATTTAATAGATCTTTTTAGTGGTATAATTAACGTTGGTAATGGAATATCGTATGGAATTTGGCCTTTAGAAGGCGGCGAGCAAAACAGAGGACGAAGACCACATCTCCTTTATGTTACTCGTTGGTCTCGCGAGGCTGTGTGCGGCAGTAATGTCCCAAAGAGTGATCACAGTTTGTCAAAGGTATTTTGCTTCTTCTCAAGTTTATTCATTTGTGGATTTCTTTCGTAAGGTGAATTAATGCTACCAGTTGTAATGTAAGTTCAATGCTTCTCCCTCTTAAGTTTTAATCCCTTCAAAGGATGCTTTTTACTTTCCCAATTCATTTTTTTCTTCAAGCTTTTGCACAACTTTTTGTCTTAAATTATTATGAAAAAGGAGATTTTGTTGACGTTTGAGTTTGAGATGCTTGATGTAGCTCAGTGAAACGTAGTTATTTTAAAAAGAAGTTTAGCAACGAATATATTTTCGTTTCAAAATTGGAAGAATTTTAGGCACAAGGGTAGCTGGTCGTTATTGATCACTGATCTTTCGCACTTTGAAGGTAAAACTGATTTAAAAGTTGTGGTACTGATTCAAAAGCTTATGTTTTTAGATTCAAAGGAAGCGTGACGTTACTCAGCAGATCAAATACTTCGAGTTAGCAGTGATCGCTGATCATTCATACGTATGTCATTTCCATTTCCTTCTGCAGTTTTCTTAACTACTTAAACAGTATTGATCATTTCATTTATGGGAATTGGAGGAAAAAAGTTTTTTTGGATTTATTGATACCACCATATGAAAATGGAAGTCAAAGCTTTGGTTATTAACGAAAGTCACAGAAGTCATTAAAGCTATTTTTTTTCAGATAACGGATTTCAATTTTTCCGAAAAGAAAGCTGTCGACTTTTTATTAGAAGCCATAAATATCGCTGACTCGGTAGGGGAATTATTTCTTTGCTTATTGTCAATCAGGATATTTTTAAAAATTGGCATACATTTAATTTAGCCAACCTGGCTTAGATTTTTTTTGAGGCTCACAATCAAAGTTTTTGCTTCTTAAAATGGTTTTTGAGGTTTTCTTCTTTAACTTCAACATTCGGCTGTCTGTTGTATATTCTGAACTGTGGTTTGATTCACAGCGTGTCAGTGCAGATAAGGATATAGAGAGGACTTTAAGTGAAGCAGTCGCTTACGTCACGGATCCTTTGTACCAAATTAGTTCGTTTTTTGCCATTTGTTTTCTGGGAATTTCATCATTAAAAATTTTTCCGATGGTTCAGTGATCACAGAGACTTTATAAATCAACCGGAAATTGTCGATAGAAATGTTTTTCAGAAAAGGATGTTACGGTCTTTTTAACCCGCGAACGATTTACCAACAATGAAACAGGAAGCGGCACTTTTGGCGACGCTTGTTCTTCTAGAGCAACTGCTATCGTTACGGTTGGTTTTTGTGGATTTTGTTTCTTAACGTGTGCCTTTATTGACGCCTTTTTTATGCAGCCATTTTTAGAAGTATCTTGGTTTGTTCTTTTAGTCCTTCTATGTCCTTACTCGCTTCGCCTTTTTGATTGATGTTCAGCAATCCTTTATTAAAATGCTATAAATTTCAATTTATTGAAAGCGGTATTGATAGCGGTTAAACATGCTTAATGGACTGTCATTTTACCATTTGGGAGGCGTTCCCATCTGCCGTTTTAATTTTTATCTGTATAGACGTCAGCTGTCATCTGACCTACAATTTTAACAAATCGTTTAAAAGTTCTTAACCAAAGTTGACAAGTGTTGGAATAGGAAAGATTTAACTGCTTCTCCAACCTTTAATGGACCGGTTTTTGGAAAATATACCATTTTCTGGACCCTAATCAACTTTATCGTTCTCTCAAACTCGTTTTAGCTTTATAGTTTTTGACAAGTCATGTCTTAATAGCTGTTCATGAAATTATGTGACTGAAAGCGTATTAAACACAGCAAATACGGTTTTTCTGAGGGAGAATTAAGGCTGTTTTAGCTGAGGGGAGTCGATACGCACAGTTTATGAACGTAGCTGTTACGCATCAGTTTACAATTTACTTGATGTATATTTCTGTTCTAAAGGGGTTCCAGACATATGGTCTTTGAAGAGTAAATTTGTTGTTGAAAAAGTAGCCTAAATGGTCATAATGACGTTAGATAAACGGTGTAAACCTGACAGATAGAACAGTTTTGCGGCAAAAGTTGAATAGATCTTATCTCTTCCACGATAAGTACATTCCAAATAGCAAACGTAAAATAGAAGATCTGTACGCTCTTCATTTATTGCTTTAGTTTAAACAAACGTCGACGGACTTAATGTTTTGTCAAATTCACTACTTTTGGTTCTCGTTACTTCAAAGGTGACAAAAAACGTGTCATTTGGCAAAGTGCGTAACGGAACTTTAGGAGTTTAATTTGTGCACTAGCGTTGATATCGAACCCAGTGGGTTACCGGTACTGTTGTCGTTGAACGGTGATGACAACTGTAGGACCGTTATCCGGACAACAGCTTTGAGGTTCTGGAATTTTTCGAGGACGAGATGTTGCTCTTTAAATCATTTAAAAAGGGTATAGTGTGGTTGTAACTGTCCATTGAGAACGGCTGCAACTGGCACTGAAGTCGCTTAACAAGTTAGTGTAACTCCCACCCGTCCTATATGGTTTTTCAAAAGCATTTTTCGCCTGTAGATAATAGGAAAATTATCACTGTTTTGATTATTTATTAGTTTTGTTGCATCTAAATGAATGGCTTTTTTTTCAGTTTTTGCAATGTTTGGCTTGGCTTTCTGCTCCATTCCTCCCCTCCCCCTCCCGACCAAAGAACTGTTAGCAAATGTTAAAAAGGCCGGAAAATCTCGTCTTTTTAAAGCGGGTTTCCAGTTGTTTGTTGACAATGGATGTAAAAACTATAACAGTTTTTAAGCAGTTCTTATAACAGAAGTTTTTTAGACATATCTTTCAGTGGCTGTTGATTACAGAGTAAAAGAAGTATTTGAAACCTATCTTTTACCTTCTATAAACAGTTTGGTAAAATTTTTTCGAATTTTAACTCAATTTCTAGTCGTTGCAAGATGATCTTCGTTGAAGTCATGATTGTTCACGATTAAAAATTTATTCACTTTGGTGGAAAATACGGCATATTGAAGCTCAGTATCACTGTTCTTTTTTTTTTTGCAGGCAATTGATATCCACACAGCTCACGAAACAGCAGTAACGATTGTCCATAGTTTGGCCCACGTTTTGGGTATTAAACATGATGAATCGGACTGTGGTTGCAGTGCAGAAAGCCCTTGTATTATGCAAAAGCGTATCGGGTAACAAATGTTCACTGCATACTGAATATGTTTATTTTTTCTCCTTATATCTCAGATTTTTTTTCAAGTTTTGCTATTTAGCAAAGTCTGGGCCATTACACAAAAAGCCGGAAGGAAACCTGGAAAAGTCAATTCTCTGCCGAGTTATATCTTTTTAAAAATGCAAAATCTGTTAGATTGCCGCTTGATATGCTTATCTTTGCAGGATTGTAATTTAGCATGTTCTTAATAAAATTTAACAATTTTTTTATTTATTAGGTTTCTCATATTCTGAAATTTCAAATGCTTATTAAAAGTTTTAATTCCAGTAAAAAACCACTCAGATTTATTAAAAATAATATTTCAAACAGACGTAGAAAAAAAACACATCTTTAAATTTTTTAATGAGACATATTTCGTGTAGAATTTTTTGCTTTATAACATGTCAAATTTTGGTAGTGGCGATTTTTTGGTACACAGAGATACGAGCCGGAACGGAAACCATTGTTTTCACAGTAATCCAATGTATTTTACATGACGAAACCGTCCGGAGCCGCTGCTGAGGGCAGCAGCCGGCAGTTGCAAATTTCCAGTATGCTTTAAACGTTGAAAATTTCTTACAAAAATTATATTCTACTTCAAAACAGTAATAGATTAATGTCTTGCATGTAAGAACTGGCCTTCATTTTAGTGCCTCATGCCCCTTGTATTTCGCAGTTTTTAAACAGAAACACAGAGAGTCTAAGGTAAACTTTAATCCAGCAGCGAAGCAGGAGAAGCAGTAAGTTCTTAGACTTCTTCGTGACTGCAAGCTGTACATAGTGTACAGTGTTAACAGAGTAAAGTAAAAGAAGCAGAAGGCACTGGAATGCAGGCCAGTTCTCAAATGCAGAATAATAATTTGTTAGTGCTTTGAAGTAAAAAAAAAACTTTTGTAACAAATTTCTAACGTTTAAAGCGTACCGGATTTTTATAGCAGGTGTCTGCGGCTTTCAGAAGCATCTCGAGTTGGCTTCGACATGGAAAATACATTTGATTATTGTGAAAATACTTTCAGTTTTACACCCTATTCCGGCTCGTAACATTCGGTATCAAGAATTCGCCATCACCAAGATTCGAAATTTTGTACAGCAAAAAATTCTACACAAAATATGTACTTTTTCAAAAATTGAAAAATGCGTTTTTTTTCTATGCCTGTTTGAAATATTATTTTTACTATATAAGTGTTGTTTTTCAATGGAATTAAAACGTTTTACATGCGTTTAATAAATAAAAAACTGTTAAATTTTGATAAGAACAAGCTAAATTACAAGCCTGCAAAGTTGAACATATCAAGCGGCAATCTGGCAGATTTCGCAGTTTTAAAGAGGTATAACTTGGCGGAGAATTTACTATTCCAGGTTTTTGTTTTGGCTTTTTGTGTACTGCCGTAGGCTCCACTAACCAGCAAAATTTAAAATAATTCGAGATATGAAGGGGAAAAGGTGTGCTATTTGGCATGGAATGGCCCATATATATATGGACCATTCCATGCCAAATTGCAAACTTTTTTCCTTCATATTTCAGAGTTTCTTTAAATTTTGCTAATTAGTAGAGTCTACGGCAGCACACAAAAAGCCAAAAAAAACCTGAAAAAGTGGATTCTTTGCAAAGATACACCCCAAAGTTGCAAAGTTTGCCAGGTTGCCACTTGATATACCTATTTTTACAGACTTATAATTTAGCTCGGTTTAAATAGAATATAATTCTCTTTTGTTTATTAGATTTGTCATTTCTTGAACTTTTTAACATGTTTATTATTTTAATTCTATTAAAAAATCTTATAAATACAGTAGAAATGAAACTTTAAGCAAACATTAGATAAAAAAAGAGATTTTAAATCTTTTAAAAAGGATATATTTTGTGCAGAATTTTTTGGCCTACAAAATATCGAGATTTGGAGATGGCGATTTTTTGGTATCCAGAGTTATGAGCCGGAATAGGATGTAAAAGTGAAAAAAACCGAATACTTTTACAGTAATCCTATGCATTTTACAATGGCAAAACCATCCAGAGCCGATTCTGAAGGCCGCAGCGGGCAGCTACAAATTTCCAGTATGCTTTAAGCGTAGATTTGCTATAAAAGTTGTACTTTACTTTCATAATATTAACAGGTGGTAAGATGCGGCCTTCACTCCAGTGCTTTCTACTTCTCATGATTTATTCTAAAAAAACTATGGTATTTACCTATTATACATTTTGGCGTCGCAAAGAAGTCCAAGAACTCATTGCTTTACCTGCGTGTCTGTTGAATTAAGACTTCTTTAAACCTTCTATGTTTCTGGAGAACTACGGCACGTAAATTCAAAAAAGAACAACGAGTCAAGCTTCTGTTCAATTATGCAACCAAAACTTCAACCAGTATAAGACAGTGACAATTCTAAACTCAAGAAGTAGAAAACGCTGGAGTGACGACTACATCTTATAACGCTGCTGAATAATAATCTGTTAATATTATCAAAGTAAAGTATAACTTTTAAAGCAAAGTTTTAATCTTTAAAGCATACTGGAAATTTGTAGCTGCCCGCTGCGGCCTTCAGAATCGGCTCTGGATGGTTTCGCCATTGTAAAATGCATGGGATTACTGTAAAAATATTCGTTTTTTTTCAGTTTTACATCCTATTCCGGCTCACAGCTCTGGATACGAAAAATTGCCATCTTCAAATTTTGATATGTTAAAGAGCAAAAAATTTTGCACAAGTTACGGCTTTTTTAGAAAATTTAAAACTTTATTTTTTTTAATGCTTGTTTGAAATTTTATTTTTATCATATTTATGTGATTTTTTAACAGAATTAAAATAATAAACATTTTGGAAAATTTAGGACGTGGCAAACCTGATGAACAAAAAAGTATTGAATTCTATTTAAACCGAGCTAAATTACAAGTCTGCAAAGATAGGCATGTCAGGTAGCAATTTGGCAAATTTTGCAACTTTGAGGTGGTGTAGCTTGGCGGCAAAACCACTTTTTCAGGTTTTTTTCGGCTATTTGTGTCCTGCCGTAGACTCTGTTAATTAGCAAAATTTAAGGAAATTCTGAGACATGTAGTTGAAAAAAATGTGCTATTTGGCGTGGAATGGCTTATATATACATATAAGTTTCACAAGGCTTCAAATATTGTCGAATGATGGCCATAATCTCAGCACTCGTAGGGAATAAATTGTTTACTGACTTTATTTCTTATAGAAAGTAACCTTGTTAGCCTTTTCTTTTGTAGGCTTTCCGTTGAGTTAAGAGTTACATTTTCATTGTTATCAAAGGCGCAAGAACTACTTTTACAAGAAAAATTACGGAATTTAGGGAAAGCAGAGATTAAAATGTTTGAGAACGTTTGTGAAACTGCAATAATCACATGAGAGATAACAAGAAAAGTAACAAAAAGTGTTCACAAGCGGAAAAAGGACTCATTGTTTTGTCATATATTCTTTCTGCTTGACTACCTCCTCAGAATGGCTCCTTATCAAACCAACCACACCTGTTTTGGAGACTACTTCAGCCGACCCGATTGTTTTTGTAAACCCCCACAAATTTTTTAGTTTTTCCTCTCTGGTGCGGTGCGGGTGAAGAACTGCCATGAACCGGAAAATTGGCCTTGTATCATGCCATCCTTTGACTCGCTTAAACATAGCTGATTCATTCCCAATTTTCGCAGTCTTCTTTGTTTAGTTAGAATTGAACTCACCTGTTTTCCGAAGTAAATTTTTACTGTCACTACTTCTCAAGCTAAACCTAGACTCGTCAGTGTAGATCTTACGTTTCCAGTTTGAATTCGCCCATTGAACATCGTCTTTGGGAAACTGCGACTGCAAAAGTTTTCTGTTTCTATCTAAAAGTGAAAAGTTTTTTTTGTGAAAACTGCCTTTATAAACCAAGTTTGTGCAGGCGTCGAGATGTTATCCTAATGGTGATGCTATCACTGTCCAGTCCGTCTGGCTTCCTTTGCATTTCTGCAGCAGTCAGTCGTCAGTTATATTCTTAAAGTCGGTGATGGAAACGTATAGCAATAGCTAGAAAAGTTAGACTCTCCTTTCTTCTTGACGCAACAATCTCTAGTTACCGAGGTCAAACCAGGTTTAGTTCTTGTCCCATACCTATAAAGCAAAAAGTACCAAAAAGAATAGATAGGAAGCGAAATCACAATTTTTAAAAAGTCTTTAAAAACAACAATTTGCTGGATTTTCTGAATGCAAAGAAATTTTCACTCGATATTCTCTTTTCATAACATTTACATGTGGGAAGGAATCTACTAGGAAACTGTTGTGTTTTTGTATGACAATTCCCAGCAACATTTTATTAAGTTGTAGCTCATCCCGTTGTGTAGAAGGGAAGTTACAGACAATTGCCCCTACCCTTTTATCCATTTAGGTCACCAGAATCATGGCCGTTTCCGCATATGTATATAATGTTTCAATGATTGAGTTGATTGGAAAGTTGCTAATCAATGCAAAAACTGGCTTTATTCGTACATTTACTTTCTTTGTGGAATAGTAGTCAATAATTTCACACCGCTCCTGTAGTTTCACCGTTAAGATGTAAATCAACAGAGCAAGAAAGAATAAATAGGTCAGGAGCGTTTCTTTTGGGCGCGTTACCGAGAAGTAACTGTGTGTTTATTTAGAGTTCGAAACTCGTCATTTACTTGGAAAATGTCGCAGTGCAGCATTGATCAACTGCATAACAACTTGAAGTTGGGACATCTGCAGTGTTTACTGAATAAACCACGTCAGGTATTTGAATTTTTTTGAGCTTAAGAGCTCTTTAGTCTTCTGATTCTGTGATGAAAATGTTCGTTTAGTGTTTATTTTATTGTATTTTTAAGTTTTTGCTGCGTTTTTTCTAGGAATCTTCGTTGCAACTTTGTGGGAATGGTGTGGTTGACAAAGGTGAGGAGTGTGACTGCGGGTCTCGTGAGTCGTGTATGGACGAATGCTGCGACCCACTAACTTGCACACTTCGGTCTGAAGCGCAATGTGCTTCACACCAAATTTGTTGTAAGCAATGTAAGGTTAGTAATGGTCTGCTGGTTTTCTTGATGGGTGACCTGTTCAGTTTTACTAATAAACTGGGGAATGCCCTGTAGTGTAGTGAATACTAACAATTATAGGTCTTATCTAAAGGTTACATATGCAGAGCGAAACGTTCATCGTGTGATGTAGAAGAAAAATGTGATGGTGAGAAAGGCGATTGCCCACCTGACGGGTACTTAGTTGATGGAACACACTGCGGGATAAACGGACAATGTTGGAAGGGCAATTGCTCAGACAATGAAAGCCGATGCAAGGCTCTTTGGGGGAGTAGTAAGTTTTGCGGAAATCTCTACGATGATCTATTTTTTTTTGTTACAAATTGCCATACTGTTTTATCTCCTTGTGTGACAACTGTCTCCGCGTTCCTCTTTTTCACTTTAATATTCCTCTAGATGCCTCTGTTGCCGAAGACCGATGTTTTGAAAGAAATGAGATGGGTATAGAAGACGGGAACTGTGGCGTTGAGGCAGACAACAGATTTAGAAAATGCTCTCCCGAAGACGCACGTTGTGGTTTACTGCACTGCCAAGGCGGCTCTTCTGCTCCCTTGCAAAAAAACTTTGATTCGTATACAGCCCAGTTTCATTACGATGGACGGTACATACAATGCAAGTAAGGCCAAGGAACTGCAAATTTTTCAAGCATATCTTTCTTTCTCAAACTCGAAAAGGAGTATCTTTTCTTAAAAGAGAATGCAAATGATGAGTTTTTATTGCCCTGTTGTTTAGGACCGTCAATCAGAGTATGGTTGGTATGGTAGCAGACGGTTCCAGTTGCGGAATGCGTAAGGTATGCTTTGAAGGTAGATGCTTATTGCTCGATGACGTATCTCAACCAGTTCTTTGTCCGACGACTAATGTGGCCCTTCCTTGTTCTGGTCATGGGGTATACAATTTCTTCCATGAGTAGTAAAACACCTCAAGTCGATCATCCATCTGTCGATTCCTCAAAATTTCTTCAAACTTCAACACATAACGAAGGGTTGCCTTCGACCTAAAAGGCATTAGGGTTTAATACGCGTAGTAAAACTGTTAGGGAGTTGCAATAACGTTGGAGGAAATAGTAAATTCTTCTTAAGTTATAGAGAATTTCATTTCTGATGAACTTGGTGGAAATCTAATGTTTTTTGATACTTCTGCTAGCCTGTCCTCCTACTCGCAAAAAGACGTTCAGAGCAGATAAACAGAGCGAGAGAGAAAGAGAGTTGGTATTTGAGGAGGAAAAATTAGTGTTGCTTATTTTCACCTATGGTGATGGGGAATGGTGAAGAGACGATGAAAGCTTTGATAACTGGACAGTTAGTGATTTAAGATGAATTCCAAAAGTAGGGGCAAATTTTGAAATTTCTTTAGTAAAAGCGACGACCACAGTTTTAAGATGCCTGTTTGTTTTCCACTGATGACTTGAGTAACAATGCATTGTTATATGAGTAGCTTTTGTACGCTTTTTGTGTAATGAAACCAAAATTAAATAACCAGTTAGGGAGTAAGGATTGCTTAAAAGAAAGCATGCTGCTGTGATGTGTAACGTCACAGAAAAGGTTGAGAAGCACTGGTTTAGGCGATTATCGTGAATGAATAGATGTAATTTCACAAACAACAGTCTTTCACAGTCTCCGATTTTTATGATAGGACGGACGTCCTTAACAGCTGGTCAAAAATAATTAGCGGACACGTGGATGGAGCGGAAGCAAAGTTAGGAAACTTATTCATTGCCATTTGCATCACATTTCATTTGAGTGGTGTGGTTGTAAACCTGCTTGAAAGGTAAGACTGCAGCTTAAAATTAGACTCATAGAAGTTGAAGAAAAACCAGAAGGCAAACCTGAAACTGCTATAGGTAGGTGAAAGTAGACGAGAGCCTTGAATATGTGTGGAGTTAGATTGCTATCAAGGGTTGAGTGTGAACAACTTCAGATATAATACCATCTTGTTTAAAACTCACGGTTAATCGGAAATTTTCGCTCCAGTAGTTTCTTTTATCGGTCTTTTCCCAATTTGCATGTTGGGTGAAACCTACATGGACCGAGTGATGGGCCTGAGTACACCAAGAATCTGACGGTACTCTTAAAGAGTGGGACACGCATGCGAAAAATTAATCTAGTCGGGCAGCGTAACAGCTTATAGTGCTTGAATTGCTGCTTAGAAGCTTCAGGAAAGCAGAAATATAAAGCGCTTCATAGTATATATAGTAGCCCAGTAGTTCCCCATTATACTTCCTCTCTTCAGTACGCCTACTTTGGCGTTCTTTAGAGACGGGCCCTCAAAAACGAGTGGTAATGTAAATGGAGAACCTCTGAATTGATACCTTAAAAAGTGATTTTTCCGTTTCTTTCTAGAGGATTCTGTCTCAGTGGAACTCAACACTAGAATTTTCGACTCCGGAATTGTTACTGGAGATGTGTTCAGAAGTCTCAAACTGTCAAAAAACTACGGCTGCAAGTCAAGTGTTTTCAGCAGTGACAAGTAAGGTTCAAAGGGTGGCAAGTCTCCAGACGAAAAAAACTGATTCAGGATGCACGAGTTAAGAATTTTTATAATACGGCACTCGCGACTAGCGTGAAAGAGTCAATTTTGGCTTTTGCAGAAATTTGACTAGAAGGCCGAAAAGAGCGATTCAATGTTTTGTTAAGTTTTTCATTTGTTTATACAGATCGTTTTTTAAAGCAGACTCGTTGTTTTTCCAGTGCTGTGCATTCACAGGCACAGTATTTCTCTTTTTGGTGCACTATGGACTTTTTTTCATGAGGAAGGCTAGACATCGGATTAAGCGATTGCGATAAGTCGTTTGTGAGGGAGCGTTCGTGAGAGATAAAGCAAAAAAGCCTCCTGTGTTGTCTATACTAATTACACTTAATTTCACGAGTGCTTAAATACCTTTCACCTCTGAAGATAGAAACTATGCAGATAAAAGGATGTAAGTTTTGACGAGACTTTTGGTCTTCAATTTCTATTTTTATCGAATCCGGCAAAATTATTGATAACGTTTGTTGATATCGTGTCTTGCTGTTTCTCATCCAGGTTCTTTATTTCAAATAAGGAGTTAGAGCTGCTCTCCTTTTACACCACGTCCCATCGAAACCTCTTTGTTTCGCTTGGAAAGCTATCGCATCTTTGAATCCCTGGTTACTAGAGAAAGGATGTAACCACTGCGTAATAGTCATTTCAAAGAAAGGTCATGTACGCGAAATACATAGCCCTCGACTTATCGTAGATTAACACAGTTCTTCATAAGCAATATTTTGGTTATAAGTTTGTGCTTTTTTTGCATATCGCTTCTGAATACTTGCGACTAACTCATTATCTAAAAACAAATTTTAACTGTTTGCTTTTTACTTACGTTGAATACCTATTCTTGTTGAACAGAAGGTAAGGAAATTTTGTGACATCGGCTAGAAATAGTGGACGATTTGAGGTGTAATTACCGATACTCATTTTCCATCGTTATGCGAAAAGGCAGGTTTCTTATTTGTCATGTGCATATACGTTCAGCATTGTACGACGTCTCTTACCTGCATATGTTTCACTGGCTGGGGTGGGACAGCATGCAATATACGTTTAAGTACTCCGGCTAATGTACTTTCTACAACAACGACTGTCGATGAAGAATTTGTTCCACCTTTGGCAGGTTGGTTACATAGATTTCCAAGATGGAGTGCTTGCTGTGGTTGGTTTCAGTCACTGTTTATCATTTTTTTCTTGTAGCTGGTAGAACGCTGAATACAACTACATTATTGGCAATCCTATTGTTTGTTGGCATTGTGCTTCTTATGTTGTTAGTCTGCCTCCTGTTTTGCTATAGGTAACTTTATTGCATGAATGTTAATTTTTTTAAACTTCTTAGAAACTTTTGACGACCGTTTATTTTTTGAAACTGACAGTATTTATAATTTGAGGCGTCGGAGCGGGAACGAACTGCTCGATGGACCGCTAGATGAAAAAATGAATGAGAGCATACCAGAAAATGCTGATCGGATAATAAAATTTGGAAATATGCCTAGTTATCGGTAATTAATTACTCTTATTATTTCCATTTTTTAAGTGCTTGGATGATGTAAAACCGTGATCGTGTGATTCTGGATTACGATAGCTTTGTAGGGAAGAGAAACGGAAAAGAAAAAAGAATAAACGAGTATATGATGCTCTTCACAGAATTAATGAAGCAAGCGATGAAAGGGATTCAGTATCGTTAAAGTCAAGAGAATCTGGTGGGAAAGGCAGCGCTGTTGGCAGTACAAATGGGTCGGCAGTAGGATGTCCTGAACCAGTGGTTGGGTTCGGGGTGGAAGACAATCGGGTTTTTAACCGGATAGTGAATGGTAACTTCACTTGTGCTGTTTTTTTTTGTCTTTTCAGGTCCACATTTTTCACAACTTCAAAGTATTTGTAAATATTCATCTTATCGACTTTCGGTCCTTGTTGGTATCTGCTTGACTAGAGCAATTTATATCCCACCGAATACTTTTCACTCAGTGTTCTAATTTCTTTAAATTTTTACTGCTTTTGGAGTCTTCTAGAGCTGCAAGGCCTATAAGGAGATTGAAAAGTTAATCAGAATGCTGACTTGAGTTTGAACTAAGGCATGTTTATCTGGCTTGTATTGAGCGTTTCGCGAAAGTTTTGACATGTTTGTGTTTGGTACATTTGTGGCTACAAAAGGTTGCTAACTTTTGATGACGTGTGAGGCTGTAGGCGAAATATCGTCTCTTACTACTTTTATTACTTTGCCTGCAGAAATAACTTTGTATTGCGCGGAGACTGCGCTTCCTTCCTTTCTTTTTTTTTTCTCTTTTTTTTTGAGTTTTACCAGGTATGTGCTTAAGTTTTTTGGAGAGTTTTAGTGGGTTTTTGGCCGTCTGGGTTTTGGAATTATAGCAGTTACAAAAGGAAATAGGCTGTTTTGGGCGTAACCAACTTATTTGTCTGACTTATCTTCAACTAAGTATTGATATTCTTAAAAATTTTGCTGTTATCAGGTTCGCCACAGTAGTTTTGTGGCTGACTACTGTATGCTGATTTTTAACATTTATTTAATGGTGTAGAAAAATAAGAACAGAACAGAAAAGAATGAACCAGCTCTTAAATCAAATCCTAGCAAACAATTCAGCAGTGAAATTAAACTGAATGAAATCCAGCATCAGTTTCTAGCTACAGGTGTTGAGAAAAAGTGATGCCAAAACAACTGTAGAGCTCCTTGGATAATTCAGGTCAGAAAGTTTTTATCAAAAATTAAGCGGACATTTTTCTTTGGCGGTCGTCAAAGGAGGCTACCGTATCCCTCCCGAATACGCTACATGCAAAAACCAGGGGTATTCTAGAGTTTTTGGCTGCAAAAGAACCATTCTTCTCCCAGAAACATTTAAACAAAAAAAATCAACACTGGTAGTATTGCTGTCTCTTTTTATCTGGTGTTTCTTTCTTTAGTACTCCTTATCCTTCTAGTATTTTTTTTTCAGTACTTTCTTATAAGCAGATTAGGTTTTTTTAGACTTTTTTTAAGACAGCTTATCTTTCTCATAGTGATCTGAACCTTGTATTTTCTTCACACATTCTATAACTCTTAAGTGCATAGAATTCCACAATAAGAAATTGACAGCTGTTTCTGTGCAATTAACTGAGCTATTAAAATAATTAAGTCGAAAGGTATGTGTAAAAAACGAAAACGCTTACATTTCTGCTAAAATCTAGGCAGAAGGGAGGCCGGAAAGTGACAAATTTTGAAGACTTACAGATAAAACGCTGGTAAACGAAGCTTATTTGTTACACCTCATACATATGTAACACAAGAGTTTTGCATACCTTTCAGAACCATTTAAAAGAACCCTTCCTCTGTTTTTTGGCCTTTCTTCGATGTGTTTCCTGCCATTTTGCTTAACAGGCAAATTGGTTTTCATCCAAAAGTGAATAGCGAAGAAATTGAAACACTTTCAAATTATCAGATTCTGCTGTACATTTGCTAAGGTATAAGTTCTGAAAAGATGGCGTGTTAAGCAGAAACATATTATTTTTCCTGTCTTCGCCGGGATGTAGCTTAGTAGAGCATCAGCTTTTTTGCGTTTTTTTTTGTTTTCGAGGGTTTAATAAGAGGGTCCGCCGGTCAGCAATGCTCAAAAAAGCAACATCTTATTTTCACAAAGTGTGTTGTTTTTCTCAAATTGCTTTTTTTTTATAAAATTTGAAGCAGACCTTAAAAATATTAAACTGCTGCTTCCCTTGCTAGTTCTCAGAAGCCGGTCACTATTTAAGATTTTTTAGGTTCTACTTCTTCAATTTTGAAAAATGGGAATGCAAACAGACGTTTATTAAATGAAGGTGAAATCTATAGTAGATCGCCTTGTTCTGAGATCCTTGGTTCTCCTTCTCGGTACACGGCAGTGGGTCGAAATGGGGTACGATATGATAAGAACCGAAGTGGTTATGCAACGGATACAGAATTAGGTGCTCACATTTTTGCTTTAATGTTGTTGTGTTTTTTCTTTCACTGGATGATAATTTGTTCTGTAGTTCGCTTTACTGCATGTTATTGTCAGATTGGCTTGATTAATTGATTTCATTAATTTTGTTTTAACTTACATTCTTTATTGTTACAAAAGTCCTAATCTGTTGATTAATCTCAAAAATTATTCATTGTTTCACCGTCTGCTTCCCTTCTTTCAACATTGATTTCAATTTAGGTGCTAGTCCATATGCCCCTCATTATGTGGAAACTCTTTCAATGACTCGTGTTGACATCAGCCCGACACTATCAGATGGTTCAGTAACTCGCTTAGCACCTACTCCCTTAAAGCTCAACAACATTGGAATGTTGTTGAAGCAGTTACGTTACAATGACACTATGGCTAGGTATTTAGTTCTCTAAGTCATTAAATTTTTTGACAGTTTATTTATTTCTCTAAAATATATATTTTAATGATAAGATCTTCACTGTTAATTTTGGCTTTCAAATAGGTGAAGCTTTTTTAGTGAAGCAGAGTTAAGTACAGTCGAAGCTGACAACCTAGACCACATAGAGCCTGATCCTAATATCGAAACGAGTCGTGGGTTCGAAGTTCGCGAACCAGTGAAACTTAGGTTGGTTTTCTAAGGAGTACTATCAATAGTCACTTCATCGTACCTTTTTGCAGATGGTATTTTACGGAAACAGAAGTAGTCTAATTTCTTTTATTTGATAAGCGGTCAACTTTTTTTTATAGTAAAGAATTGCCAGAAGTCCACGAAGTTTATGAAGCTGAGTGAAGTTCCACGTAATTACAAGCTGTGGCTCACATGCGGGTGTCCAGCTTCCAGAAAAAAAAAGGGGACTTGAATTACATTTCTGGCTAGTCGCTAAAATTACTGCTTGCCTCTACTCCCAAGCTAAGTCAAAACAGCACCAATTGTGGCTAAGGAGGCAGTTTAGTAAGGGAATCTAAGCCATTCCTTTACTGAAAACTATTTATTAAATACAAATTGGCTTGGAACCTGAGATTCATTAATCTAAATTAACTAAATAAAGAGGGATTTTTCTCAAACTTCCGTCCTTTTCCCGCTCCCTCTTTCTTCCACTTTTAAGGGGTAAATACTTAATGCGTGGCTAACTGCAGTAGGCATTGTCATTCTGCTTATGATTTTTCGGCTAAGATTCGATTTTCTATATTGGGTGGTTTTTTGACAACTTTTTACTGCGTTTGAGTGCAAGTGGCTCGTGAAATAGATAAACTTTGCTAATGCACTTAGAAGAATGGTTTCCATCTTTTTTGTTTCCTTTTTTCATTTTTTGTCATACTGTTGTGATAAATTGTTTCGTGTTTCAGAAAAAACGAGTCTTGGTCAGAAGGTGAGAAGCCAAAAGACAGCGATTACCGCAGTGAGTCACGCATTAAGCAGTTACCTCTCAAGAGCATCCAAGCGGGAGAAGTTGAACAAAATCCTTCTTTGTTTAGTGATTCTTTTAGGTTAGAATTATAATTTAGTTCTTGTGCCAGTTTGTGGTAACCAAATAGCTTTCAGTAAAAAAATGGCTTGGATTTTCTAACTGTACCTTTTCCTTAGTCATGAGTAGTGTTAATTAGTTCACGAGAGAGGTAAGCAGCAACTTCATTAGCTGGCTAGAAATGCAGTTCAAGTCCTTTTTTTTCTGGGTGCTGAGCATCCGTTTCCCTGCCTTAGTCGGTAAATATGTAATACTTCATATGTAACAAAGACCGCATGCCTATGACCTCAGACCTCAGTTTTTTCCTTGCCTTCCCGAAGCGTTTTATTGTAAGATATAATTTTTCATTTTAATTCCGTTTGTTCACTTAAATTGGTGCTTTTTAGTCGTCTTTATTGAATTGTAAGAAGCATATCAAGTAATTTGCGGGTATCCTAGCTTGAATGACCTATATTTATTATTTCTTCAAATGTCACTGTTCTGGGTTACACCGAGGAAACTGGAGCCTCCAATTTCCCCTTTGAACCCGCTGAGAAAATTTAAAGTTTGAGAAGTATTCTGCACTTTGCGAGAGTTTAGGTGATTAAGATTGAGACGTCTGCTGTATACAGTATTATCTTGCAGTATTTTTTTGTTTTTATACAGTATTATGGGAAGAAAAGATGAGTGGGAATAAGTTGTTTCATCAGTCTTTGTGTAAATATTGAAGAGTTCCTATATGCATTTGTTGGAAACTGCTTTTCTCTTAATGATGTTTGTTATAATAGAATCTGTCAATAAAAATAATGCTCAGTTTAAGTGGGTTAATTTATTTGGGTTTATTAAGGTGGTTTCTCACGTGTTGGCGAAGGTTATAAAACTTGTTTTAAATTTAAATAGGTTATTTTGTGGTGGAACTTATCTTTCCGTACAGTACATTGTTTAAAAGTATAGTTCTTATATGGATTATACTAAACCACTGCTAATTTAAGTACGGTAAGCCCATTATAATTAGCTTACTGTACTGATTAGCTTACTGTCAGCCTAATTATCAATCTGACTTCACTACCTTCAGTGTCTCTGTTCCACCAGCTCAATCAAAGCTCCTTGAATTCACTTTACTTGGGTAGAAAAACCTCTGCGACTTGAGTAAACTCTTTACCCTTGGAATTACGAATTACCTACTGAACTCTCTTGTGTACTTATACCCTTCACTTTCGAGCTGTGGGGTTCCTACAGCGTCCTTCGTATTTATGATATAAAAAAATTAGTTTATTTAAGTACAGGATAAGAAAACAGAGGACCATAAAGCGAAAAAGAAATACACCAAATGAAATTATTGGGACTCCTATTCATGGAAAGCAGGGAAAAGACTTACGGTTTATAATTCGGGGAAAGATCAACGGAAACCCCAACGAAGGATATAAATCAATGGAATAAATCAATACAATTCAAAAAAAGGGGAAACTTTTGACATCAGATTGTAGAAGGTCTTTGATAAAGCGAATCGGTACAGTAATTGCAAGGAAGATTCCTCTGAAAGGCTGGAGATTTTCATGGAATAATGATCAGAATAATGATGGATGATAATGAAAGGAAGAATGAATCTTACTCCTTTTCTCCCTCTTTTTTATACCTTCAGTTTCACCACAAGTGGAGCGTATGATTTTGTTTAACAAAGTTTCACCGAATTCGCGTTTGCTCAAGTCGGTATCCATTTTTGGGAGATTTTTGCTAATTACTACATACTGGTAATGCCTATTTAACATCTTATTATAGTGTTAACCACATGAAGTTGTCTTATGATAGTGTTAAATTTGGTGTTGTTGTCTGATTGCAGTACTAACTGCAGCACTCCCCCACCTTGCATCAATTATAAGGAAGAAAGGAGTATTTACATTTACGGGAAGGAGCAGTACAATTTTAATTCAAGAGTTTAAGAATTGCATAAATTCTTCTAGCGCCACGCCAGGAACGTGAACTTCCACTTTCTGAATGAATCGTCTCTATGACTTTGATTTACAGAGGGCTAATTTACTTCCGATGACAATAAGACCTTTTCGCGCTCTGGTAATTGCTGCAGTCATCCTTGCTCGGTCGGTGAAAAAGATGTTGCGACTACCAACACTCTCTAATTGAAGGATGGTCTGAGCCTTTCTCCTACTATGCTCTTTGAGAGCTCGAAAAACGTTTTAAATCATACTGTAGACTTAATAGCCCCTTAAGTACTACAGCACCAACCAATGATTGTAGATTTTGGTAGCGTTTGCGGACTGCAATTTTGAAACTACCTATTTCTATGACAGCGCTTAAAGTAGCGTTAATAGTATGTGTACGCTTAGTTTTATTGACTGTTTTATTAGAAACTGAACGTACACCAGTACAGAATATAATCCTAATAATAAGGGAGCTAGTCGTACAGAGGTACTATAACCCCAAAAAATATATAATAACAGTACTGATAATAATAGGAAGAAACACAAAATTATTGAACCATTAAACGAAACAAATCAGAAACAATAATATTTAAAGAACGAGAAAATAAATAATCAAAATTGAAGACGACAATAACTGCTAACGATTAATATTAATCGTTAACAATGACGAAAACCTATCGATCACTGAACCGAGTTATTTATTGACTGATGGAACAGCTGATTACTTAAACAATTGAACGGTTGAATACTAAACACAGAACACAAAAAGAGAAGCTCTTTAGCTTTTTTTATACCTGTCTAGTTGCCGCCTGACCTGCTGTCCTTTCCTTGAGGGGCCACTTGATGAACCGACGGTTACCCCTTCGAAGGCGTCCCTTGAGGAAGTGACGCTGTTATTTATTTTCATTATTCGGAATCTGCGTACGCGTTGTGACGAAGATGACGAAGTCACTCTCCTTTCTCATGTAAGAATCGACAATGTATATTGAAATGGTTGGGTCGGTTTTTTGAATGTCTCTAACTGTCGATCCATAACAACGTAAATGACAATCTTTCCTGAGGTATCAGGTTAGATAGTATATATAATTTGTTTCGTTGCCTCTACTTGGGCTTGGTTAGTCTGACTAAGAATCAGACTCCTTTCTTCAGTTCCTGTGATGTCTAAGAATAAGATTGGCACATTGATATATGGCCCTGGGAAACATACTTCTCTCCACATTGTTTTTTCTGTCGCTTTTAAGCCGGATTGCAATTGACCGTTATATAACGTAGTTGAGACCAATTCAGTTATTACCGGATGGCTTCCGTAGGAGGTAGAGACTCTATAGAAGAAAGAAATGCTCCCAATGAATATGGGGACTGAAGTAATAGAGTGAGGGAGGAATAACCAGACGATAAGGATTTGTCGGCACAGCTAAAATTGAAGTAGTGAGAACTCTGAAAACACTGGTTAACGGCCTATTTATAAGAGCTGCAGAGTGACTACGAGTAGATCGCCATCTGATCTAAGACCACTACAGCAGTACCGGAGGGAGTAAACCTTGAGGTGAAAAACAGGTAACACCTAACAAAACTGGATTTACTACCTGTCAATTCTTGGTCAAGGTGCGCGCGGGTTAAGCAGCGGACAATCAGAATGATTTGCGAAGGTTATAAAAGCTCGGGAAGCGAGTTCTGTAAAGCTGTGGAAACTACCAAGGCGGGCAGCACTGTGAACTGATAGTCAAGTTTTTGAGATTGCTAGTTTTCTAAGCTACTCATCTTCATAAGTTTCAAAGTTGTTTGGGAAGCCCAAAATTATTTGTTGGGACCTAGTTTTACTTCATCCCGAACTATGCTGATAATTTCAGTGGATTACGGAGGCCCTGTCATACTTTATTTTTATCGATCCAGTCAATTTGTAAGAGCATCTCGGATTGTTGCGTATGTGATGCCGAAAAGGTACTAATTTCAACTTTTGTATGCTGTGCAAAAATTACATCTTTAAACTTATGTCTTTTTAAAAAATTCAAAATGTCGCCTTTCGAGAAAAAGAGTTTTGAATGTTTGTTTCTATTCTAATCTGGTATGAAATTTACTAATGTAAGCTTTTTACACCTTTCTGATTCTGCAGGAGACGAGCTTTTAATCAAAGTAAAAATGATGAAAATCCGTTGCGAATGAGAAAAGTACAAGTTCTTGAAGATGACCATTTTGAAGGTAGATCGCCTTTTTTTTGCACTTTAGAACGGTCTAACTTTGCCGCCAGCTCACTATCTGAGGTAAACTGTTTCGATTTCAAAATTCGGTATCAGATGCTACGAGCGGGCAATGAATGAAACAAATCTGAGAAGTTGAGAGTCAAAAGTGGGCGACTTGGCATAGAATGGCCCATATGTATACAGTTAGGTCCTTCATATAAGATTCCTTAATGGCATTTTCTAAAGAGTTCCTTTTGTTCCTCTTTGGTACTTGGGTTATTGCTCCCCAAACCTAATTCTCTTTTTCCTTCAGTAAGCTTACGAGTTCTATTCTAAAAAACTAGAAATAGTGACGATTTAGGAACGCAACTAAGGCAAGGACGACCCCGTTTTACTTTAGAACTTCCTTATATAATGCTGTAGATGACCTCCAGCCATTCAAATTAAGACGATATCCAACCTCTTAACCTCTGGAAAATTCGCCAATAAATTTCATAGTTTATGCAGTAGTCGTTTTAATATATAATGATTATTTGGTTTCATTGCTGCTTCCATACTAATGGTGGTGAATAATCCAAAGGTCGGGGGCTAGATTTCCAGCAGTGATCGTCGTTAATAACCCAGTAGTATTATGTTTACTGTAATAACTGATAATTTTTTCAGCTGGGCTTAACTTTCATGACCTTTATTGTGATGGTGACCAGAGGCGCTCTTTCGAATCGTTTGGTTGAGTAGCTTCTTCCAAGTCCTCAAGGGTGGTCTCTTATAGTTCAGGAATGCTACTTGTGTGTTTCTGTTTCTTTTTTAAGGTTTGCCTGCGTCCTCGGGTAGCTAAAGCAGTAACGCCAAGTCCGTTTGTGAGGAGTCGTTGGAGTTTACTAATCCTGCGCGACGAAGGCTTTACCTCAGTGCACCTGGTGTGGCATGCAATTACCACTAAATCAAATAAATAGGAATACATATCGGGCGTGAGAAAATACATATCAGGGTCCCATAATTTTCTAAAGACGTTCCCAAATACGTCTGTACCGTCGAGTAGCTTTCGTCGAGAATGTTACAGGTCAGAATTCCTAACTCAAAAATTTCTTCTTTGTTACTTCTGAATTGAGCCATTTTGTAGGCAAGTACTGCTTCTGGCTCGTCTTCTTTTTCATGGTTAGTCTGAGTGTGCATTCCTTCCAGACCTCTTCCATTTTCGTCAGTGGTACCCGCGGCTGGCATTCACATAAAACAACAATTTTCTTTTTCGGCCGTTCAGTACGCCTTTAGGTACTTTACTTCTAATCTGTCCTAAATTTTGAAGAGCGTCCTGTTGCAGTCATCCGGTCTAGCTGAGGAAAATAGAAGTTCTAAATGATGACCAAATCGAGGGTGAACTGTGTTTCCCTTGCACTTTAAAACGGTCTAACTTTGCCGCCAGCTCATCTTCTGAGGTAAACTCTATCGATTTCAAAATTTGGTATTAAGTGCTACAAGTCTTCAAAAAATCTGGAAGGTCGAGGGTCAAACTTGTTGGAATGACCCATATATACAATATAAAATTTGTTATGTGTTAGCAGTAGAAATTCATAGCTGCCAAGCTGACGAAATCCCACCGCATTCTAATCACTACTTCCTTGCTAATTTTTCTCAAGCCGTGTGCGGTATTATCTTCTTCTCCCCTTACCTTTCGTGCGTATCCATATGCACGTTCAGATAATGAGGCTAGCCTTAGTTGATGCGGAAATCTTTGTGATGCTAACACTAATTTTGAAAACAAAATTTCTGCGAATATCCTCACAACCACCTATTATTAATAGAATGATGGAAGTTTGAAGGGCAGTAAGTTGCTCTACGACTGTTTGTAGCTGTCTGGTACCTTGTTGCCTAATTCGAATGCCAAAATTTTCGCTCCAGTACGGGCTCAAGTAAAAGTTTGTCTAGCTTTTATGCTAGTGATCCACACATATCCCGTTCAATTGTGTAATACTGTGCGGTCTACAAGGATGCTGCCCGTCAGCAAAAACTGTTGAAATACAGCATTTTTCATCTTTGCTTTCCTTGTTGTTTTCTTTTCATTAAAAGAAACTGTTTACTTAAATAGAAATATTTAAAGCAGACAATCAAAGAATCAAGCTGAGTATATATTTACGAAAGTTGGACTTTCATCATAAGTACAAATGTCTTCCTGCATTGCTGAGCACTTGTTACGACTGCTTACATATGCATGCACAGCTTTGCTTCTTTACAAAACTTATCAAACATTCAGATTAAACTTATTAATCGATTGGTGAAGAGCTTCCGAGCTTCGAGCAAATCAACGAGCTCTGACTCATTCAGACTTGAAGGAGTTAAAGAAGCCATCAAAACTGTCAGTTACCTGGTTACTACACTGTGCAAGGTAAGAAGGAAGTGACACTTATCTTTTTTTTTTTCCACTAAAAGGTAGTGATCCTATGTTAAATTATTAATTGACTATACTGGTGTTACACTGTACCACAGCACGCTGACAGTTTCCTTACAGTTCCTTGTTTTTGCTGAGAACTAGGAGAACGAACTATAAAGCTTTCGCCTCTGTTCGCAATTTGAATACTACAAAAGATTTTGCGTAGTAATGAAATACTCTCAATAAACAGCGAAAAAACAGTTGAGTTGAAGAACATGGTTACTACAGAATGACTCAAAACGAACAAATATTTATCTAGTAAAATTACCCACTAAATTTTTGAGAAATTGATACCTTTTATTTTTGCTCGACTTTTTAAGTATAAATATACCGTAAGAATCCTTTCTTTTCTGATTCGCATTTAAGTAGCAATTGTATTCAAAGCAGAGAAGACAATTTTTAAAGACACAGAAAATGTGGGGAGCATAAAATTACAAAGAATAAGAAAATAAAGCGTAGCGTCACAAAATATTTAAAGCGGTATGGCCAAAAATGTAAGCTTTTTTTCACAAACGAGTAACAAAAATTGTAAAGCTAATGGATTTTTAATTTGGCAGCCGTATTCTGAAACAATGGAAGCCCTAACATCCGCCAAGTGGTTTTAGTTATAATTTCTAACTAATTCCACTTAAATTTTGTTACTCATCCATAAAAAATAAAGTCATAGGGCGTTTCTACTATACATGCGCGAAATTTATGAAGCAAAATAACGCCGAAAGAAAGCCGTTGTTGAGCTGCGGGACCAACAGTTTGATTTTAATGCAGCAGAACCTCTTCAACTGCTCAACTGATTGGATGGCTAGAACGTTGAATGTGTGAAGCGCGCTCCTAAAAATAAATAGTACAGGTTATAGAGTCTTTAAGGTTTCAAGTTTCGTACGAAGCTGTTCAGGTTAACAGAGGATGAAGAGCTCTTTTTACAAGAAAAAAAAAAAAACAAGAAATTGTCTCGCCAAAAAGTTTAAATTAAACTTACTTCTCCCTCTTTGTTGAATAAAATAGTTTGTACGTTCAGTCCAGTACCAAATGTCGTTTCTTCCTCGAAGATTAACTGCGATGGTGGACTATGCAGACCTCCTTGATCACGCGCCCATATCTTTAATTGTGTTTTACTATATCGTGAGTAGCGCACACTATATGCTTTTTTCTTTTCATTCAAAAACATTACTATTGCAAAATTACACAGCAGACTGATTCCAAAATATGTGGTTCAAAGCAGACGTCCCTTACTTACCTTTACTGATTTTCCTGGCTTCAAAATAAAGTCTCGTGGGAAAGTATAAATTATTTCACGCTTTCCATCTATCTTCCGTTTCAACTTCCACTCTCCAATCGCTTCTTCCTTCGAACGATGCGTGTTCTCCAGTACAATAAATTTGCCATCTGGTGACGCTTCCTGCATAAAAGCCAACACTCTTCCAGAATAACAAGAAGTTAAAGAAAGGAAGAAAATTTTTTGGGAGACTTCTGCATAAAAACATCACCGTCGAAACTTTACAGAGTGAGCAAAATAGAGCAAATACTCACAAGGATTGATACATTTCCTTTCGCAGATCGTTGGAATGATGTCCTACTAGCCGTTTCTCCTTTCAATATTCTCATGCTTTCTGCAATTACGGAATTCCTTGCGACATTCTAATCAGAAAATGATGGAGTTGTCAAAAGGATTTTTCAACTTCTTTAACTGCTGAAGTATCAAAAAATTTTCGCAGAAGCTTTGTCGTTTGCTTACCACTTTCATCAATTTGCGAAATTCCATGCGTTTTGACGACCTGCTCAACGAGCTGCCTTAAGCCGGCACGGTTCTCTTCACCTTCCAACATCTTTCGGTAGATGGCAATCTCAGCATCAAGAGTCTGAAATTAAACGCATTTTTGAACACTATATTTTAGAATACTGTGTTACAAGTACACGGTATTCATTTTTATCTATCGTAAAAATCTTTAGAGCTTGACTGGACGGTTGAGTAATTTGTTTTCTTTTTATCAGTTTTGGGAATTATTCTTCATTTCCAGTTTAGCCGCTAACGAGGTGTACCAGATGTACTCTCCACCCTCTTGTAACGGAAATGATTTAATTTGAATATCTTTACGTATTACTTGGCCATGTTTTACTCTTTTCAATTCGCTTTCACTTTTTGAGAACCGCAGTGCTATGGAGTTGGTAGGCTTTAGTTGTAACACGGTGCAAAAGTTTTGCCTTCAAAACTTTTTTGAGAACCACAAATGGCATGTTATTAAGTGCAGCTCTACTACTTATATCCTTAAGGAGATATCTTTGTGTCTTATTCTATTGCACTTCACCTATGCTCCATTAGTTCACATCACTTCCTTATTTTTAGTAAAACGCTTGAATGTCACCCAAAATCGGAAAAAAAAGAAGCTAGCAGTCAAGAAAAAGTGGTAAATGTTTAAAAAAGCGCAATAATTTGCATTAAAGCATGATGATTCGAACTCCCGCATTCTCAAGGTCATGAGACGGAACTGCAGAAAGCATAATGAAGTTTGGCGAAGCTTTTTCGTATTTCAGATTCCTCCATTACAAACTTTACTTTTTTTTTCACGGTAAGTAATCTACTCCGGTTAATTTACAAAAGTTTGGGTTTTCTGATCAAAAAAACCAAAAATTCTTATCTTTCTAGCAGACTTCGTGGAAGTCGCAGAAGTTTGTTCTGACTTTACAGTTTGCCTCTAACCTTATCTGAAAAGTGATGAGTTTTAAAAAAGTATTGTTTTTCCAAGTTCCATGCTGTATGGTGCACAAATAAGAAATGTCAGCAACACAGTATGAGTGGAAAAAGAAACTGAAATTTCTTAGGTCATTTGTTATCTGCAACGTTACTAGAAGGATTTGAGTAAAATATAAGTAATAATGGCGTAAATTCTACCCTTGAAGTTTTTATGACTTGACTGCACCTACCCAGGTTAATATTCTCTTTTTTTGGGGTACAGCGTTCACTTTAGTTTGGTTGGTAGTAGAGTTTTATGCGCCTACAACTAAAACTGTTGTAACCTAACCAGGACTAAGTTTCGCTTCTCATGCCTGCCGCTCAGGCATGTGGATTTCTTCTTTATTTTTATTATTGTTTTAATTGCTTTACACCTGATTACAATTTGTAGTTGGCGGTTTTAACATAAGGAATCACTGGCCATTTGTAATCTTTCTGTAAGTTAAGTAGCACTAATGGCCCAAGTTCGGTAGATCTTGCAACTACCTCTGTACGAAAAACCAGTAGCGTTTAAACCTTACAAAAGACTGACCTGTTTCGTATCAAGGAGCATTTGGAGTTCCAACATCAACGACTGGCACTCATCTCGCATCTTCCGGATTTGAGCATCACGATCGTTAAGAGCTGCTTCATAAGAACGCTGGTCATCCTCTAGTTGGTAATTGAGCTCTTGTGTTTGCTTCTCTAACAACGAATTCTGCAAATCGTTCAGTTGAGCGAAAGTTTATGATTTTTAATTAGTTGGTGCAAAAATGCTTATTGTCAGGAGCTATATAAAGTACAATATTTTTACTACCAGATTTGATTAATGTAAAAGTCCTACTCTTCCTTCCAAATCAGCAAGTTTTCCGCGAAGGTCTGTAAGTTGCACTCTAAGCCTTTTAACTTCTTCTTTAGCATAGTTCTGTTCTAGGTTCTGCCTATTAGACTGTGTCTGAATCTCCTGGACTTTCAGTTTGTACCAAGATTCCATGTCATTTCTATTAACGTTACAGATCTAAAATAGAAACAGGAATTTGTTTCTCGAAACTTCGTTCTTTATCTTGGAAATAATAGTTTTCGTGAGGTAATTAAAAGTGCAACACATTGATCTTCCATAGTGACGGACCTGATCATATTCAGCCCTGATATCACGAATTGCAGAAGCGAGTTCGTTCTTAAAGTATTCACGATTCTCAGGTGTAGTATCTCGAGACGCCATGGCTTGTAATTCATTTATTTCCTGATCATGTACTCGCCGAATAAAATCAATCTCCTCCAACAGAGTCTGCACCTGATTTTGATAGTCAATACGATTCAGAGTTTCTTGATCTAAGTCCTGCAAGCAAATTATTGTTATTATAAAAAATCACATTTTCAGCGATTAATTCGCTCTCAACAACAACGCTAATCAAGCAGGAGGTTTAGGCAGTTCATGTCGAGCTCTTATTAGCCTAACAGACACGTTCTTTAAATTTTTTCAAGCACATGATAAATAACAGTTTCTTTTATTCAACAGTAGGTTACCAGTGTATTTTAATATTGAGTAAATCTGCCAGTAGCGTTGTCAGCTGTTGAACATAAACTTCACAAAACAATGTTCAGAAAATCAATTATTGTTGTTTCAAAGAAAGTAAAAAATTGAAAATGCTTACAGCACGCTCTACGAAAATTAATTGAAATACTTACAGCTCGAGCTTTTCCAAGTTCGTTAACAAAATGGATGTTTTCTTTCTTTATTCGCGCAATTTCTTCCTCGAGATTGTTGATACGTCGGCGAATCAAATTAACTTCAGCTTCAACTTTTGCTAGATTTTCCTAAATTCTCAACAGTCTAATTTTCTTTAATAAAAGCCTTGATTGGGATAAGTCCTGAGGAAACTTTCTACAATAATGCTTGAAATTTCATTTGATAAAGAGCCTGAAAACTAACCAGTAGTTCATCAATCGTGTGTCTGTCCTCTTCGTGTCCTTTCAGAACTTCATCATATCTATGTAAAGGTTTATTACCATGCGTTAAATTCCAATAGTAAAATACGTTATTCAGAACAGAAAATTACAAAAATGCTGTTTAACACTTCGTATTTCTTTATCTGAGTTAAAAGTAAAATAACAAAGCCATTTGATGACCAAACATGTCTACGTTGGAGAACAACCAAGAATTTTTTCCCACACGATGATCAAACTTACTTTCGACGGTATTCATTTATTTCTTCCATCAATTTGCGAATTTGATTTTCCAGGTCTTGTCTTTCTCGATCAGTATCGTCTCTTATCTTTTGAGCTTGCTGTAATTTTTTGTTACTCTTAATTTTGATTCATTCCCTCTTTAGAGCAGTTAATTATAAGCTAAAATCAAAAAGGAATTCTCCTATTTCATTTTTGAAAGAATTATGTTCCTCGCTCACTTTTTTCACATCAAGAATATTTTTTGAACAATACCTGAAGTTCCGCTTCATACATACTTCTTACACTCAACGTATCTTTTCCCCAACGACTACGGAGCAGTTCTAGATCAGCAGCTAATTTCCTGTTTTGAGCTTCCAGGAAACGTACCTATAAAATTGTCAGTACAAACTGTTTATCCAACCCAATATATTTCCAGTTAGCTCTTCACATTAATGAGGGACCTACATGCACTAATGATTTTTAACTTCCATTACTTTTTCCCTTCAAATAAATTCGCGGACCACTCACTTTTTCAATATAAGAGGCTAAGCGATCATTCAAATCGCTCATCTCCTTCTTCTCCCTTTCGCGAGTATCTCGAATCGCCGAAGCCGCATTCTGGCCAAATGGGGACAAAACTGCGCTTCCGCTGTGCAGTGTCGATGAACCAATTTCGGTTACTGTTTTGACAATTCTATTTCCAGATGCTGTTAAACAAAATTATTTAGAAGCTATTTTGAAAATCTTCTGCAACGCCCTTTGAACTGATTAGTTATTTTTGCATATAGCTTTGAATTTATTTAGAAAAAATTTGAAAAAAAAATTTTTTTTGTCTATATTGTTTGGCAGCCAGCAGTTTAAAAGCACCGCATATCCTAAAATCAGAAGAAGTCATTACACATAGTCCCGAAAGGTGTTGACGTGTGAGTAGTGATTGTTCGATTGAAGCCCGGCCTTGGAGTAATCGTGCTTCTATAGTCCAGTAACGGAACTTGGTCCATGTCTCTAGAAATGAAGTATATTTCTATTAACACCTGTTCACGCAATAAACCACAGCCAAATTTCATACTTAAACGGTAAGATTATCCCTAAGGATTATTTCGACGGTATTATGGCTGACTTGGTTTTTCCAATTTCCTCACTGTTCAACATATTGCACATGGGTTTTTAAATAGTGAAGCATCCGCTAAAAGCAGTTATAAATAGTAGCAGCAAAACGTTTCATAGTGATTTCCCATTCAAACAATTTGTTCAGAAATATAATCCTTTCCTACTTTTCATTGGTGTTCTAAAAATTTTAAAGTTCTCTTTGCAATCTTCCTACAGGCTTCACTGGAATTCAAGAAAAAAGTTAAGGTTTTGAAAGATCAATACTGCATCAACCGATAAACTTATTCTGAAGAAGAAAGGGGAACACCAAATCAGCTGGTGTGAGCAAGCGGCAACAAATGTCCAGTTCATATAGGTTCAATAAAAGAGTAGTTACAAAATTTTCAGTCATAACTTAGCAAGCTTCTAAAGACACTCTGATTTCACATATTTCAACAGACTTGCCACGCTATTAAGGCACGGTCGGTCAACCGGGCTGCCAATCGCTGCGGAATGGATTGCAGAGACGACGGTGGCAAAAAAAAGTGGGTTGTGACAATACTTCTCATTCTAACAACCTTTCAGAGAGGGAAGAAACAATAATCAAAAACGTTTTTAACTGTAAGACTAACTCCTATAATGAGTTTTACTGTCAAAAAGTTGCTCAAATGAGAAGAAGAAAACAGTAGAATACAATTTTAAACAAATTGAATAAAATTTATTTATGAACATAAAGAAAAGCGAAAAATAGTAATTGATTCAAAAGAATTTCCATTAATTTTTTCACTGAACTTTCACAGAAAATTAGTGACTTATAAAACTGCTAGTGTTGACAGACAAATTGATAGGCTATTTAAAAAACATACAGGGCCTCGAGAAAAGGTTGCTATTAACAGAACGGAAAATGATCAACAGTGGAGTACTGTTTCAGCAACCCTTTCAACTCCCTACCTATATAATTCAAAATGTTGTCTTGGAACAAAAAAGTTAACCAGTCTTAAAATCCCTATCAATTTTTCTTTCAAACTCAAAAAAACACTGAGTAGGCGGAAAAACTAAAATGTTTCGCAATTATTGAAACCAATGAGCTGCATCAACAGAGCTTATAAGTGAACTAAAATTACAAATTTTCTCCTCAACCTTCCTTCCCTCTTTGTAAGACTACAAAATCGCTCCAAGAACTCAAGAATTACAGATGATGTTTGTAAAAAAATTTGGCAAAAATGTGAACAGGAATTTCCTAGGAAAATTTTTTCAATTCAAGAAAAGTAAGCTTAATTACATCCCATAACAAATGTTACGTGACGAAAAGTAGAAATTTTTGTTACCTCTGGACAATGAATAATAGCTGCTGATAAGCAATAAAAATTGTTGAAAGGTCTCTAATAACAATAGTTCTCACAAAAAGTATGAATAAATGGCTTTGCAAGAATTATTTTCTAAGAGTTTTACAGAAATTTGATGAATTGCTAAACTGAAAAGCAACCTAAACAATTGGAGCCCAAAACCAGATAAGTAAGCAAACTTCTCACAATTGGATCTAAAAAATGTTCCGATAGTCATGCTGCAGTACTCAGCTGCTTTAAAAAAAATAAAAACTTTTGGGCCAAGTGGCAGTGCGTAACTAGTTGCAATGCAAAGCACAGTTTTCTTTAATTAGCCATTTGATCTGTGAGAAAGTCCGATCTGATGTAGATACTGTAACTGTCCAATTGACTATCCAGTGATGGATAAATAAAGACACCGGCTACGCGTTCTATGATGTTGAGAACAAAGAGTAAAAAAAAAAATAAGAACTACTGTATATGAGGACCATACAAACGCTTTTCCGCCCACTCAAAACAAATATTAGAATTCAACTTTGTTTCCTTGACTTTCTTCTCCACTACCATCACTACTCGTTCAGGCAAAAGTTTCTTTTTTAAATAACCAGCAAAAGTAGGAACGAAAGGCTGAAACCATACGACGATAATGGAGAATAAAAAGGCCAAAATAGTGGAACTAGAGAGGATGTGATGTAGAGTAGAGCAAAACAAATTGTCAAATTCAGTAAGCAACGTGCAGGTGTGCGAAATATCAGCACTGAAAGGGTCTTTAAAAAATTTGGTTTTTATTTCCATTTTTTTCAAACTCCACCACTTCAGCTGAATGCGCACAATTTATGGACCCCACAAAACACATATGAAGGGGCCAGCAGTGTAGTACTGAGCAACTCAACAACGGTAACAACAACAGCAACAACTGCCCGCAGAAAGATTCTATGCAATATGTGAGGGAGCCAGTACAACAAGGTTCAGTTTCGTTCCTCTGCTTCTTCCTCTAGCAAAAACCTCAAATGTTTACCTGGAAATCTCTTATCCACATCAGCTACAACGTTCACTTTGGTACCTGTTCTTCCTTCTCCAAATTTCTCCTTCACAAATAGATACAAACAGTACTTTTATTACGCCAAGTAATCAGTTGAAGTGGTGCAGGTTTTCTGTTGTTAAAAAAAAAAAAACAAACAAGACTAAGCAAAAATCAGGAGGCTCTTTGATAAAACATCACAAGATCAATAAGCATCAATTCCACAGTTGGTTGCACCACAAAAGATCCGATATTACAGAAAGTTCTGTTGGTTCAAGCAACAAAAGTGTTTGGCAAAGTTACATGAAAACCCTGTTCAATTCATGCTTTAGAAAAGTAAAAAAACTGATCCAACAAGCATAAAAGTTTTCTTTAACAAACAAAAAATTAACCACAAAAGAGAATGGCCAAATTTTGTATTACCTCGCGCAAATTTCAAAGAATATAAGAAAAAAGCTACGTTAACAAAAAAGCTACGTTAAAAAAAAGTACGTTTAACAAAATATAGCGAAAAAAGTAAAGGCGGAGAAGAAACGAATATTAAGAAATTAACAATTAAACAAAAAATCCATTAAAAGCTATTGAGCACACAATATTTTGAAGCGGTGGAGGTAATTCAGCTATAGGGTCCCACTAGAATACTGCATCATTTATCTGTGTATGACTAATGCAAACTAAAACCCAATGGTTTGAGTCGAGTGGCGGAAACGTTGAGGGGAATTTATAAAAGTCTTTGAAAAATCATTGCTGCCGAAAGCACTAACGATAGGGCAGTCTTTAGCTGAAAACGCTTTGCACGTCGAAAAAATTGGAGTGATAAAAAAAGAGGCAGACAAGCAAGAATATTAGTCCCAACAGTACTCCAACATATCTTCTTAGTTAAGAGCTATTTTAAACTGCACATGTTCGTACAAACCACACAACTAGTGCCGCCTAAGCTGTTCCATATTAAAATTTTGGGACTTTAAAAAAGTTGAGTTATGAAGTGAATTTCTTATAAAGACTTTCAGTTCACCTGTAAACGAGAGTCATTTAGCAGTTCACTCTCAAATCTCGCAAAAGTGACTTCAGTAAGTTGTACGAAGATACAAAATAGAAGAAGAGTATGTCATTATAAAAGGTGTCTTTAAGCACTACAAATTAACAAGTTTTTTGCTACAGGAGTTAACGCCTTTTATGGTTTGCATTTATGAGGAGAAGGGAGGGTAATCAGTTACTGTTATGTGCGAACATGCACACAAAATCAACTAAAACGAGAAGATGGAAAACCGTGACAGCAAACTGAATGAGCGAAGCGGAGTGTATTTGATTTTATACATAAACAAACACTGGGAAAAAGAGATTGTTATAAGAGGTTGGATAACATTGCATCTATTAGTTTCTGTGCTTTCGGTGAACAAGAGAGAGTAAAAATTGTAGAGGCAGACGAGGGGACAAAGGGGTAAATGGAAAGAGAAACGAAGATTAGAGACAGAAGTAATTCTATCGGGCAAACCGCTTATGTGAAACTGTGAGGATCCCACTTTGACGAACAACTACAATACAGAGAAAAAAGCCTTGTGGCCCTTTGTATGATCGTTTTTTATTCACTGATCATCACAACTGAAAGTGGTTTAAAAGTGCACTGTATTAGCCCACTGATAATGATTTCACTTCTTCCTCTCAAATGATCCCAGAAACCTTGTTTTCTGTTGTCATTTTGCAGAGTACTGCAAAAATAAATAAATCAAAATTTCAATGTAAGTGAGAACCATCATTTTTCTCGCATAAATAATTCTAACTGTTGAGTCAGCCAAAAAACTTTCAGATTGAGTCAGCTGCACACAATGGTTTTTTCTGAAAAAGACTCATTTCATCTGGTTGTTTTAGATAACAAATGAGTTTTTATTTAGCTGAAATTTTGAAATAAAGGCCAAAAACATAAAAAAGTTTTGAGAAACTACGAGGAAGATGAATTCTGCGTAGGAGCAGAAATAGCAAAAAAAAGAGGCCTTTGAGCCACTCGAATTCTTCTATTGCAACGTCTAACG